AGCTCTCAGCAAAGCCATGCCAGTGCCCTTACACAGAAAAAAGAAAGAAAAAAAAAAACAACTCAGTCGCTTTACTCTTCTGGCACAGCAAGATTTTTCTAAGCAGATAAAGCAGATCTGTGCAAGAGACAATGTTTTTAAGGGCGGAATTCAGAGATAAAGTTCTCTAGGGAGTGCTGCCTGCCACAGAGCACGCCTGAGTCTGCTCGACTTGCCCATCAAGGCCTATTCCTTTTACATTTCATGTTCAGCACAGGAAAAGGTGTGGAGGTGTTAGTGCATTGCAGGTTAGTGTGCTATTGGAAAGAGCTCAAGTGCTTCAGAGATGAGATGATTACATGTATGAATTTACATAAATGAGAACAGAGAAGAGTTACTTTAAGATTTGGAGGCTTACCAAGAACTGAGGTGAGGCAGACAACCCATTATACTGCTCTGCATCATTTGCTGCCCCTTGAATTTGCAGAATATATTTTATGGCTTATTATGTATAGCTCAAGTGTTGATCAAGATGTTGATGACTTTCACTGATTCAGCAGTCTCAATCCAGTGTAACTTTTCTTATAGGAGAACAATATTTTGTACTTTAAAAATCAACCTTTTTTTTTCGTCTTTCTGATGTTTTTTCCCCCTAATTTGCACGATCCCCCTAATTCTCTTCTGGGGACCAAGAACTTCCAGCACATGTGAGTAAACTGTTAGTATGAAACAAAGCTATAGCCAGAAATCAGAAGTGATGACTACAACTAAGTAAAATATTCCTGTATAGTAGAGAAGCAAGATTTTCCATTCTGCGCTGAAAAATCCAAAGACTTCAGTTACCTCATCAAAGACAGCAAATCATCACGTACTCTCCCTCTGTCTGCCCTTGCCCTAGCCAAGCGTTCAAGGCTCCAGCTGACAACCTCTGCTGAATCTCATTGGGGCAGCAGAAGGGGTTGCTCATGCATGTGGAAAGGCAAAGGATCAAGCCTGTGTCAGATCCCCTATTACTGTAGCTTGTTTTCAAACAGTATTAATGGCAGCTAAAGAGTCTTGATGAAGAGTTCACAGTGATAGCCTCTAGCACAGAACCAGAGCAGATAGCTGGCAGCAATAACACCTTAAACCCTGACTGTTAGCTCTAGGAACACTGATCTGCAGGAGGCTTCACTTTCTACATTTTTCCTCCTTTTTCCATATTTGCCTGCTCTTATTTCTGGTTTATTCGTATCTGCTTTCCCAACATCTTTAAGCTGCTGTGTGCATGATAATTCACTAGTTCAAAGACAGTTAGCATTTTTACAATTTCAGGGGTTCAAGCATTCCCCTAGTTGAAGGCTATGTGAAGTATATGTTTTGCACCTTCTAATCTCATAATCTGTGTTTAATAGCAAGAAACTAATTATAGGACTGCGTGAAAATTTTTTTCCTGACTGTGTCAAAACTTGCTTGTATAAACAGGATGTTTGTGTACTCAAAGGCATCATCAGCTACAGATATGGTGCTTCCTTCAAAAATCTTATTGATAGGTTTTGCTATTAGGCCTTTCCATTTTTTTCACCTCTGAATAGCCTGATTGATAGGGTGAGTGTTTCAATTTGCATGTATCTTTAGTCTTGAATGTTTGCATGACTTGCAATTAAAGAGTAAGGTGCTGAGGCTCTCTTCTAAAAAGCAGGAGCTTTTTAGTCATGTCTTGATTGTCTATAACATACACCAGGTTAACAGCCTCAATGAAATAACGTTCTGCTGAATATAGCAAAGCATGCTTCCCTGCATTGTTGGGATCTGGGTTCAAGCAAGAACTTATTATTTCTGAAATATGGAATGCATTTGCTCTTGGAACACATGTCCTTTTTATGCCCTCTGGTTCATGAGCTGGTTGCAAAGCTACAAATTTGCTATAAAATTCCTTTTAAGGTGCAGTGCTGCTAGAAATTTGTAGAATAATAGAGGCCCTTTCATCCTTTGTATTTAAACATGCAATTTGCTTTAACAGGATCTGATCAACCATTAAAACCCACTCTGTGTTTTATGTGTTTAACAAAAAACATACTTGCACAAGTAAAATAGACTGCATGAAAGGCTCCAATACACCTATTTATGTTTCACATATAACAAGGTCTTGCAGAACCCCTTTTGTCCTGAGGAGTTTAACACCCCCACTGGAAGGCTGAGACCCCCTGGAAGGAGAGCTGCAGCTCAGCACCTTGCCAGCACAACACCTTTGCTCCTTAGGGCTTTGGGTTGGCAGTCCCAGAGCACGGGCTCAGTTTCTATGAGAGGAGTGCTCCAACACAGTGCTTAAGTCAGAGCATATATGTGATTAATTCCAGCAATTATCTATCTAAGAAAGCAGGCATTTCTCTTTTGTCAGAGCGTGGCTGGCCAAGTGGTCAGTTCAAGGGGTTCCATTTAGCTGAGATGCTGGGGTGCTGCTGGAGCATGAACCACAAGGAAAGTTTCAAAGTCCAGAGAGTTTTAAAGTCTGGGAGAGGATGCTAGTTCCTTTGAAGTGTTTACATGGAGTGTCTAATGCTGAATGTCTCTAATGTCACTAACATGACACTCAGAAGAATATTTCTGAGTGTTCAAAGTTTCATCTGAAAGACATGCAAAGGTTTCTTGCGCTAGGATAAGGGGAAATGATTTCAAACTAAAAGAGGGGAGATTAAGATTGGATATAAGGAAGAAGTTTTTTACAACAAGGGCAGTGAAGCACTGGCACAGGTTGCCCAGAGTGCTGGATGCCCCATCCTTGGAGACACCAAATGTCAGGCTGGATGAACTCTAAGCACCCTGATCTAGTGTAGGTGTCCCTGTTCATTGCAGGGGAGTTGGACCGGATGGCCTTTAAGAGTCCCTTCCAGCTCAAATGATTCTATGATTCTATGAAAACTTAGTATTAACTAACTCTTTCATTTTTATAAGTGACTGATTAGCTATAGAATTACAAGTTTTGCTTTTTTTTTTTCTTTTTGTGAAAAGGATTTTTTTCATATAGTTCCATTTGTTTACACAGATATGCAAAGCTTTATTTTCTTGCACACGTCAAGCAACAAAGAATATTTATTTGCTGTTCAAAGGCCTTTTCACAAGCAGCACTTAGCTCAAAAGCCTATTCTCTTGGCTTTCCTCAACGTGATTTTTTTCCAGTGTATCCTCTAACTCTGTCTTTGCTTGTTTGTTTGTTTGTTCATTTTTTTTCCTGTCCTTAATTCTCAATTGCTCTCTCTTGCTTTTGGGGGGATTTTTTTTATCTTTTCAAAAACACACAAAACTAATAACTAGAAAATCTCAACTGACTGAGTCCATATGTCTGTACTGGAGGTACTATGGTTTCAACTGTCAGATCCTGTAAAGTTATTTATAGATTACCAGGAAGACACCATAAACATAAGCACTAGTGGAAAATCAAGAAATTAATTGTGTGAAAAACAGAGACATTTCAAAGATATTTTCAGATTTTGAACTAAAAATTGATAATTTATTTGATATCTTGTTCTCTGTATTTCTGTAGGAATTTTGTTTTCCTTGCTGTCATTTGCAGCAACATAGTGGAAGCTGTTAACTAAAGATTTCATATTTTCTTTCAAGAAAAAGCAGAGTTTAATTATTTTTCCTTTTTGAAATTGTTTCTGACCATGAAGTCCCAATAATTTCCCATCAGTTCAATGGATGCAGCCAGGACTAAACCTGACTGAGTCATTGTGATTTATAAGATAATAAAAAAATAAATATTCTCCTGCTTTTCACACATTTAAAGCTAAGGATTACCTCTATGTAACTAGTTTTAAAAGAATATTTTACCATGCAGGGTTGTCATGATAAATAGCGCATACCATATTTGCCTCCTTGCTCTTTATTCAAAGCCCAAATCTTTTGACTGACCAAATGATCCTAAGACCTCTGAAATATTCTGTCATCTTTCTAATTGGATACACTGATGTCTGCTGGAAAACAGATGTGATCAACTGCAATCATCTGTGAAGCTGAAAGAAAATGCAGCATGTTTTCTCAGGAAAACTTTATCAGTAACTTTACCTCCTCACAAAACATAGACATAATCCATAAATAAAAGAGCTGCCGTTTGATGAGAAGGAGGAAATTCTATCTTAGTCAATGACAGGGAAAGTGAAATGTGGTCACCCAGAGTTCCTGCAATCAAAGCCTACTCATGCTTACTTTAATTATTCTGATGTGTGTTCCCATTCAACTTTAATAGTACTGCTTGTACCAGTAAAGGTTCTCAATTGCAAGGGTCACGTTTGCTTTGTTTTCTTCATCTCTGGTTTAGACTTAGAAAGACTGCACAAAGGACAGGGATCCTTTGAGAGAGCTTTCTGTTTGCTCAGTCCTGCCTTGCCCCGGAGAGACCAGCAAAGATCCAGTGGTTGATTTTGGGAATGCCCTGCTAGCAATAGAGTGGGAGGGAGGAGGCTGCTCTTAAGAAGCCGTGGGACTCAAAACCAAAGCAAAAGGTGTTGTTGGATGGCAAAGGCTGGATGGCAAAAATCACTGACTACCCAGAGTAAAGAACGGAGGAAACCAATAAAATCAAATAGATCAGTTAAGGAGGTGACTGCAGCAATTGTTACATTTTTGTATTTTTTATTATTTGTAATTTTAGCTTTAATTTCACCAATCCCAGTGAGTATTGTAAAATAAAAATTTTATTTAGCAAGGTTAGATGGAATTGGGAACACATCTACAGAGTACAGTTATGGCTGAGTAACTTGATTGTTTGTGGGGACTGCAGAACTGGTGAGGAGGGAGAAGTACTACAAATGGTAATTATTTTGATCAGTGGAGAATTTGATGCATCCAAGAATTTTAGAATTTTGGTCCTGTTCAAAGCTCCAGATGGGTTTAGTCTGAGATTCTGGCAATCCATGATGGAGTCATACTTGGGCCTCACCTCTGCTTTGTATGTAAATGGTGAAGTTATTTACATAAAAGCTCTCTTTTTTTCTTGGAAAATGTTGTGTTTCAATCAGCCATTCTTTATTTTTGTACAGGGTGAGGTCTGTCTTGAAGAACTCATCCCCACAGAAGCAAGAGGGAGCCTGTGCCAGTAACTCCTGTGGGAGGCCTAGCTGGGACACCATCATTGGCACAACCCCTGTTCTCAGGCAGGTTTTCAGCCCATTTCAAGGACTAGCTCAGCTCCTGCCTCTAGAGCTTTGGTCTGCTTGGAAACTCAGATATCAATAAGGCAGTTAAGGTAGGTACATCTTTAGGTACTATTTACCTGTTAAGGTTAGGACACGTCTTTCTTTTATGTGAAAATCAAACTCCTTTTGTCAGCATATAGCTTTAGGAGCTGTGAGATCTACAGTCGCCAGAGATCTGCAATGCTTGTGCTTTTATCTTGGTACAGTTTAGTACAGGGGTCTTGCAGATATCTAAAAAACAGCTTTTCAGTATAAGTTTATAATTAATTTTATTTGCAATAATAATGTCAATAATCAAGCTGAAATCAAAGGATGGATAGGGATTTGACTTTAGGCAGTGATTCTTGTGCATTTCTAAGCTCATTCAGAATAAATAAAAAATTATAAGAATGAATTAGTGAAATGGTCTTTTCAGAGGACACATGCTTTGTCAGTTTCCACGAAAACTGTTCTGCAGCCAGCTGCTTCTGCAGCTGACATTTGCTTACTGAGCCAAATCCATATCTGAGTGCAGACCAGAGGGAATGTGTCTATTCTGGTTCCTGAGAAATGAAGCAGGCAAGGGCTATTTCTAGTGGCCTTTCAGGTCCAGTGTGGGTGGCTGAGAACTTTCAATTGAAGTCCTCCCTTTCAAAATTGAGCCCAGTGGTAGGAATTTTGAATAAAGCTCAAAACATTAAACCCGGAAAAGGAGGAGACTGAAGCGGTTTGTTGGCATGACACAAATATCTCCCTTTCCTGAAATAAGAATGTTTTCTTCAAGAAACAGAAAAAGCAATGAGTAAGAAAAAAGCATAAGAATGAATTTAAATATTAGAAGGCATTAGGAAAAGTGTGCTGGTTTCCTTTCTTCAGAACCTCTTGTTAGGCTTCTAGGAAATACTGAAAATGCTGTCACTTTGGGCCAACAAACAAAATAATGCTTGCAGATGTGTGGAAAGCTCAAAAAAGAGACTTTTTTTTCTTTACAAAGCATACGATAAAATTCAGCCAGTGTATGTGACTATGAATAAGGGGGAGGAGGGAAAATAGCAAGGCAATAAAGGTCGAAGGTTTCTAAACCTGGATACTTAGTTCTGGGTATTTCTTAATAAAAATTATATTGAGAGTGGCTTATAAATCTCAGAACTTCTCTCCAAACCATTTAAAGTTAAATTTATCTTCTTATGATGATTTAGTACAATATTCTTTATTCAATGAAGGGAAGCATGTATACACTATTTCTGTGTTGAATGGCCTTGGTTTTGAATCCTTGCTTACCCTAAATAAGATCTGGGATGGTTTCTTCTGAATGTTTGAAGATGAAGAAGTAGCGGGTACCTTGTTTCTAAAATGTAGTCTAGTGATAAACGTTGATAAATGTTTGTGTTCCATTTTTAAAGCATTTCAAAAATAGACACAGTCAGCAAGGAGAGAGGGGAAAACTGGTAGGTATTTCATCAAAGACCAGCCATACATAAATTGCTACACAATGGCAATTGCATGCAGGGGTAGCGCCTGGACTTATAGTGAACCATAGCATTTCATAAACTTGTAGAGCTAAGCATGAAGTGCTACTATTGGGATTCTGCATGACCGAGTATTTGCTCACTTAAACCCCAGGGTAGAGGAGAAATTTTCATGGAGCTTATAGTGATTTATAATGGGAAGCATAGGCTTTTTCATAGACATTGTTCTCACTGACAGTGTAAAGAAAGAGAGCACTAAATCTCTTCTCATCATAACTAATGATTAAGTCAGCAGCTTTTTTGGCGAATACAGAATGCCCTTCTACAAAAACAAAGTATTCTATTGTGATGTATTACATTTAAAAAACCCATAAGTATCCCATAAGGCTATTGCAATATTTTTAACTAGATCTTCCCTCTTTGTCACCATATTGAAATAAATGGAATGTGTCAGACTGAGTAATGCTCTTTCAATAAGTTTTTAGGAGCTCACTTAGAAGTTTGGCAAAATATAAAGAAACGAGGAAAACTTTCTCAGGATCCTCTATGGCCTGAATGAAAGATTGGTCCATTAAGGAGAAAAGCTTATGCTGATGCTGACACTAATAAATGGGGTGGGGAAGGATATTTCTGCTTAGTTTGGGCTACCTTGCTCCAATTTGGCTGCATCAAGTTGCCCTCTGAAATAAATCAGCCAGTTGATGATGATGCATTGCATTACAAAGTTCCCATCAATAGAATAGGAAAATCAGTTTTGTTTGAGTTCAAATGCAAACTCACCCTCAACTATTAGGAGTCAAAGGGACAGCAGTCACTGAAAAATTAACTTCCCTGCATCTGCTGTTCAGACCTGCATTTAAACTACAACATTCTTCCTTCGGAGGGTATTTCCGTTATTCACTCTGGATACTGAACTTGCTTTAACTTCATATGTTAAGTGGAAGAAAATGCCCTGGGTTTATTAGGCTGTTCCTTCCCCAGTGCTTTCATTTCAGATGCTATTTCAACCCTACTGAAGTCAGTGATAAAACTACTACATTCATTGCCAGAGCCGGGCTTTTTCTCTCTATTTTCGCTCCTGAGGGAAATTTTGAGTAGGTGGGCCTTCAGAGTTAGATCCATCCTGGATTTTAGCCCTAGTCTCCTTTACAAATATGTTCCTTAAAAATATTTTATAAATTAAAACACTTAAGAAATGCCTCCTCGGTGCTCCTAAATGGGAAAATTTGAAGTAGAAATATTGGGCAATGGGAAGGAATTGTATTTAGCTGTGGTGCTATCTCTCAGTAATCGTTAGCCTTTAGGGCTCCGGTGATCTCCATGTTGCAAGTGCTGCATTTCCATACCTACCATCTTTCATTCTTCAGAAAAAAAAATGTAGATTACTCAGAATATGTCTTCAAGGGGTGCTTCTCCTGTGACACTGACTCTACAGTGCGTTCTTATACTAAGTAGGTTAAGCATTTCAGAAATGTTTAGCAATCTTGCCCAGTAAGTACTTTTTTACATCGCTGTAATACAGCCTTTCCTGAATGTTACGTCTGGAATCCTAGCCACAGTGCACAAAAATTACAGTTGGGTAAAGCGAGCCCTCTCAGACTAATGAATTCAGCTTTCCTTTTTTTCCCCCTTTGCCTCACAAAGGTCCTAGTCAAGAGTGGGATAGAAGGAAATCCCACTAGAGCCTAATAATGCTGCTTCTTTCCAGAGGGAGTCACTAGAAAGTAATTTATTTCTTCAGCATGCAACTAGAGGTATTCATTTATCAAAGGCTTCTGCATGCTGCTACTATGGCCTTCGTTATCCCAGGGACAAGGAACTGAGGTTGTGACCCAAAAAGTCTATTCCTACTGGATAACCCTGGTTGTCCCTTTTTTTTTCTCAAACATCAAATGCAGGCCTACTGGACATATAAGGCTATGTTCATAGCTGGAGCTTGTGCAGTATTTATAAGGTATGAAAAGCTACAGTTCTTCTGTCTTTGCCTATCAGCATCAGTAAGGCACTACAGGCGAGAGTAACGCTATCAGCTGCATTCCTTTGCCTCCTGAGCCATGGGCAGCTCTGATTTTCAGACATGCTTTACTTTTTTTTTTCCCCTCCCCTGCTTTTCTCTACTGTTGTGTCTTTCCCATCAAGGGAACTCGCCCTCAAGTTCAGATTGCACAAACTTAGGAGATGCAGTGGAGAATTGGGCCTTTGTGAGCGTGTGAAGGATGCTTTCCTTGACCTGTCAGAGAACATATTTTACTTGATGAGAAAGAATGCTGGGCCAAATTCCTCTCTACTGTAAGCAGACTGATAGAGGAGGACTTAGCTAGGGATGAGCATGGCCTACTTTGTGCAGTGGACGGTCTCCTAAGCAGACAACGCTTATTGTTTACAGTGCAGTGGCTGCTTTTCTGCTCCTTTAAGTGATGGTGGGTTTTTGTACCAAACAATGCAAATAGGAAGTCATTTGTTTGCGAGGACCTAATCCTGAAGCCCTTATTTGGTGTTTACTGAAATTAAGCTCAGCCTTTACTCAGATAAACTCCACTTGGACTCACAAGGAGTTTGCCCCAGTGAGGACAAGAAGAGGACTGTGAGAGTGCGCTGCCTGATTTTGGCCAGAAGACAAAGATACTTTACGTTAAAAACACATACAGAGGAAAACAGGCGCACACAATTACTGACTATATGCATGTGGCACTGTACGTGTGCACACGGACGCAGTTGCACACTAATCTAATCAATACATTCATTTCTTATTAGGACATAATTACACATCCCAGGAGGCTGGAACAGAAAAGTCCCATTAACCCCTCATGCCCTTTTCAGCTTTCCTCTGCCTTTCCATCTAACAGACCTCTGTGTCACTCCACTCATTAGCAGTTACTGTCTATGACATTGTTACATAAATAAGGATGTCGACCTGTCAGAATGGGTCACTCAATTCAAGGGTGATGATAAATATCTGTCCCTCTGAATTAGGCCAAAGATACCAGAGTACAGGACAGCTACTGTTGATTATTGGATAGTTAATGTATAGAGGACAAAAGGTGCTGAGGCCTGGTCACTCTTTGGATCATTAATATGGATTTAGGCCTATTATTAAAAAAAACACACGCAGGCATAAAACTAGGTTAGCAAGAACACGCATAACTTTCAGTTTGGGGCTGAACGTATAGATGGCGGGTAAATCTGTGATGCTAAAGGTATGGCTTTTACATAAAATTAAGGGTGCTTTTAGATAAGCACAGTATTTTGGGATCAGACTGCAAATGGTTTGTGCTCCTCCATGCTTACAAATGAAACGTAAGTAAAAGGCATGGTGGATGCCTTTAAGTAAGCTGAGATGATTCCAGGAAGCAGGATATACAGTAGAGCAGTATTGGGCTCCGAAGCAGCCAGAGAGCTGCTGCTGAGGCGTATCACATGGTTTGCTCTGAAAACCATCAGTTATTGCCAAGACTTTTCTGAAACTGCTTTATTTTCAAAACACTTTTTTGCTACTTAATATTGAAGGGACCGGAGAGCGTCTGTAACCTCATTTGTTCAGTGATTACTATCTTCTTCACTTGGTGACAGATTTTTCTTTCAGGAAGCACTTAATTGTGATG